TTATTTAATGTTTTGAACTGTCAAAATACAATGATCACAGCCTCCTACGATTGATGCTTGCTGACGTTGGTTATGAATTTCATACCATTTTAAAGCGCTCATAACGCATGTTAATAAAAACGCAGAAAAACAATTTTCTACCACTTGTAGTTATTCAAAACTTACGTAAAATTAAAGAATATACTATTTTCTATTTTCAAATGGTATTCCCATGCAACTACAATGAGTAGAAATAAGCAATTTGAAGGCCTAAATAATTGCAGCGAAACATTTTTTTACGTCGGGCCGCTTGACAACTTCAAAACTGAAATTATATTCGAGGTTAGGGTCTCACTTAGTTACCGTGACTTGGAGAAAATAATTTGCATTGTTGAGAAACGAAAAATAAATTTTAAAAATATTTAATTTTCAACCATAATTCGGCGTGGAATTTTCTTACCGAATACCACGCGAGGTCAAATAAATATCAGGAAATTTTTTCTCGCTCATGATATTTTTAGAAAATTTCCGGAAATAATTTGACCTCTAGTGGTATTACTAGTGATAAATTCTTTTGAAACTGTAAATTCAAGCATTAGCATCTTGAATAGGAAAGATTCTTGTTAGTGTAGCTTTTCTGCCTATTTAAGAGTAACTGGTGACTAATCCCGTAATAATATTACATAATATTTGGTTTTTCCCGTTTCATGTATTAAATTGGTTTTCAACAACAGTTTATCCATAACTATTAATTTCTTGTATGTTTAAATGAAATAAAAACATAATTGACATTTGCCCATTCACTAGACAGTTTTGACTAAACAAGTCAAACTCAATTTCTCGACCGTTCTGACTGACTCTGACCGATCAGCTGATTAGTCATGACTGGTCGTGTTGGTCGGTTTTCTCTTTCGCTAGACAGTTTCGACCGGTCCGACCGCTCACTTAACGCACCCTAAAATAAGGTGTTTCGTTACTGGTTTCATAAATAGCTATTAAAGGTCTTTAAACAAAATATTTTTTGTTTTTTTATTGTAAGTGAAAGAGACATACGTGAAAATATTTGTTTTTAAGTTAAGTAAGGATATTTTTTTGTACAATCTCTAGCAAATTCCAGACTAGAGTTCCTATATAAATTTGATATTATAATTAAAAAGGTAATGGGCCCAAATATTTGTACACAGACAAGTTTAAAGGACATATGTTTCGGGATTGAAAGAAAATATGTGGGAAAATAAAGCAATTGTTGAACAAATCATTTTTATTGTAAATAAGTCAGGGACGGAGCTTAGGAAGTAACCTTTATATATTTTACATCATTGAAATGAACTGTTCGGTTAGAATCTCAAAATCGAAAAATGTTGATGTCGTTAGGCAACTTCTTATTCCCGTATCAAAAAATTAGCTCCTATTTATTTTCCGTAATACAAATTAACTTATCGGCTCACTTTTGGCGACAAGTTGACGTCAAAAGATCGACATAATTTAATTTTAGCCATCATTTGCACGGACTTAAAAGACAGTAGCAGCTCCATCTCGAAGACCGTATCCAAATAAAAATCGAATCAAGGTCTTAGAAAGGAAATCTTGTAATGGAAAGATGTAATATAAAAAAATGGCAACCCTCGAAGAATCCCATTTTAACCCGAATTCGGTAGGAGGATTATGTACATTTTCTGGAAAGCCTTTTACCGATGTTGGGGTTGGCAGTTTTATAATTTGATATTTTGCGAGAATTTGTTTTATTTTTGGAAAAGAAATTCTTAATAACCGATAATTATCAAGCAATTTATTTATTAAGATTTTTAACTTCTAAATTTTGGCATTTTTTACAATCTCTTTATTTTTCTTTATTTTTCCATATCTCTTTCTTTCTTTCTTTCTCCAGTCCTTTATACATATCTAAGGTTGTTATATTGGGTATATTTAAAAAAACTTCATATGAATATGTTTTAACCATCTTAACTTTTGAGATACAGGGTAGTAAAGTTTTTAAATACAATAATTTTTAATAATGTAGTCTATTCTCTATCATACAGTTGCTACCCAAGATGCTTTGACAAATGTCAGTTATATGATCACTTTGAGAAAATCAGAATTATCTAAGTAAAATCTGTAACAACTAGTGGATACAAGTGATTCAAAAGCAACCAAATATTCTTGCTGGTTAAGCCAAGAAAGAAATATGGACCCTTGGATAATAAACATTTTAATAGATCAATAAATTAATAAAAATTATGTTTATTAAAATGATAATAGCTATAAAAATTAAATAGGTATATTATTTTTTCTAATGGTTTGATTTAAAATGAAGTAAGGACTTCAGCAAAGGCTACTATTTCTTGCAACCTCTCTATATAAGGGGAGTAGGCCCCCATATCACTTAGGATATAATAAGATTGTGCATTTTCCAGGGGCATTTCAGCTCGCTACTAGTTAAAATTGTTGGAAATAATCAATAATAAGGTTGTCACAATTAATATCTATATTTTGATATCTATCGCTCTTTAATCTATGTTCTTGTGACATGTGTCACTTATGTCACTTGTTAATAATGTCAAGAAGTTAGTTGTTGATTTGACTGTTAAGATGTTCGTCACGTTTTTATAATTAAATTCTGCTAATAGAAAGTTGTAATAATCTACGTGTCTTATTACTCAGCACTCTACGAGATACAGAAAAATAATATTTCCAACAAAAATAACGTCATCGAGAGTTCTCTAGAAACGACCTCTCAGATCGTAAAAAGGCCTGCAAGTCTGCTTGCGATAAAATTGAACATTAAAATGTACTGTCTTGATGAAATTTTAGAACGACATTTTTATGATTTTTTTAATTTTGTTCTATAATAGATATATTTACTTTTAACTCTATTAAGGATACAAAACAGAACAAATCACTTCATTGCAAGAGAGCGACGTGCCGTCAGCTGATCGCGTCAAGTAACTGCCGCTAGCGCGCTATGTTGCCAAGTCGCCGGCTATATTTATCAGCCCTGAGAGAACAAATTTCAAATCCGTCCAGCAACAAAATATAAAAAGTCTCAAATGATAAAATACATTTCACTTAACGTCCTGGCGCCATGGAGGTATAACGTCATTGATCCCGGTCCTCCTGACTTGAAGGTTAAGTTGTTGAAAGCCTGATTTACAACACATACCACTTTATAGTAACCGTGATTACTGGAATAGCTACTATTGTTAAAGTTATTATACAGTTGCTATGACATTAATAAGATAGTTAGAAAGTTGCCAGATAACAACCATAGTTATACCCAGAGATAAAATATAATATTTGTGACGCTACAGTCGATCCGGTCTAGTAGTAAATCAGGAGTGAAGAGACATGTGGTGAGAGGTAAGGGAAGGGAGAAACTAAACGATTTGACAGCCCTACAAAACAATTTTATCAATACATATATGTGTAAGCCATTGTATGCCGATAATGAACAACGTACACAATGCTAAGCCCTATTGCCACATCTACTACTAAATAGGGATTTTAAAAATGATTTTTATTTTAGGAGAAATCAGTGGAGTATCATCAATGACTGCCAAAATATATATGTCAGATTCCACACGAACGCTACTGGTTAAAAAAAAGAATTTTTTACATCAAAAAATGTCTTTTCATGCATTCTTGTATACCAAATTTCATTTAAAGATCTAGAGTAGTATTTTCACATATATTAAAAAATTATTTAAAAACTTTACTACCGTGTAACTGAAAAGTTAAGAAGTTTAGGACATATACGTTTATATGAAGTTTTCTTCTTAAAATAGACCCACAAATTACCCCCTTAAATATTGAGATTCTATTAGGAAATACCCTGTATCTTTGGGCCTTTCTTCTAGTGTACTTATTGTTGAGATTCAATTTGTTACTTTTTGTTTCAGTGTTTGTATTTCAGTAACTGTTTTCGTGCCTATTTTTCTTTAATTTTGCGATTCATTACCTTTTTAAAATTCTCAATTTTTTGTACATTTACCTTAATAAAAAAAAACAATCGAATATTTACAATTCCAGCCTCTTTGTAGACGTTCTACTTTGTGATTCACTAAACCATAACACGGAGAGTACCTATATTGTTCCTAAAGGTAGGTAGGTGGAGACGATTTCAAGAAATAACGACACAACCCCTATAAAGCGTGTAAACGTGACAAAAATAAATTCTGGGATTCCCCAATTGTACAACTAATAATTGAAACCAAATCACGTAGCAAAGTTTTAGGACAAAGCGACGAAACATTATTTATTCTCTCGCGTATAAAGAAAAAGAGAAAGCTTTTTATTTTTATTTTCGAGATAAAGAACTAACATGGGATTAGCTCTGTCACATGCGTTATAGTTTATGAAAACAGTAGGTACATATATTCCAAGAGCTTAAGCTGGAACAGTTTCTTATTCCATATAGAAATAACTGTTTTTTGTGTAACTGTCATTAAAACTGACACTTTTAGCAAAGTAGATGTTTGTAAAATTAGTATTTTTTTTCGATCATATAAAAAGTAGCCTGTTTTACAAAAAACATATTCAATCATTTTGAGAATATGTTGGCTAATATACGCTAGTTCACTGATGATGTAATTATGGTTCCACTGACAATTAAAGTGACAGTAGACTTTTTGAGTGCGTTTTGTTCGTTTTGTTTACCTAAATTATATCGTTTTTTCACTTTTATAAATATATTCCTAAAGTAGATAACATGCATCAAATATACAATCGTTTAGTTACCAATTACAAACCTTTAAACTATTTTTTATGACCTGTAAACAATATTTAGAAATAAACTAAAAACAGTTAAAACGTATATGTCAAATATATTAATGTTTTTGTTAAAAGTTTGGTTAGAATTAAATGTCAGTGGAACCAAAATGACATCACACCGAACTAGCGTATTGTCGTTTATTCGACACTAGACATAGATGGGTGAAATAAAAATTAAAAAAAGGTTTGTCGTTGAGTAATACACATTATTTTATAATGGTTTCTATCTAATTGCACTCGTAATTTTTACTCACCTTAAGGTTATGATAGAACAGCACAGCTCCTATCGTAACAATAGTAAACCATATAAATAACGTGAATGTGGTTACATCCCATATATGCAACACGTTTAACGCGTTACTGACGATCACAGCCGTCGCATGGCAGAACATAATAGGCAGCAGACACCTGTCGAGAATGTCCCACGGGACTTCCTGTTGTCCAGCTGCTTTCCCAACTGGTTGTTGCCCCGCTGCTGCGGAAGCTCTTCGAATTGACGCTCTCCTCATGGCATCTGGAGGCATGCTCATGGCTGGAAGGGTCTTGATGGAAGACCTCCTTTTGAACGGACCGCTCATGGCTGAGGCTGAAAACAGAACGAAATAAAGTTAATTGCGAGGAATGAAGAGTAACCTTGTATGTTAGGAAAATAGATCTTAATACAGAAGATTAAAATACAAAAGATTGAAAGGCAAACGATCGAAATAAAGTAACTCGAGATGGCCAGGGGCCGCACAGGTTAGGTTAGCTTAGTTTAATATTTTTGTATTGTAAGGAGTTTTCTCGCCATAAAGAAAACGTTTCCTTACGAATGGCGCTGATTACGGGCGGCTCTCGGGCGCCAGATTATTTATTCTGGTTTACTCCACAAACTTTCGAAGCGGCGTCGAAAGTACTCGGGTAGCTACAGATGGAGATGCACAATTCCAGGGGTCAAAGATTACGTAGACCCAGGTAATCGGTAGCCACAAGTGACGGGCTTTAATCGTCACTTGCGCTTATAAAGAATATTTCTCTAACTGAAAATTAAGGGTGAAGTAAAGCAAGGTGTTAGAACTTCTTTAGTGATACGGCCAGATAACAATGACACATATATTGTGAATAACTATTTACAATTTAAAAATAAAAATAAATATACAGGGTGGACCAATCTTCTGGAAAAGTTTGATATCTTCCTTGTTGAAAGAGATATTAAAAAAGTGTATTAAGAAAATTATGGACATGTTTGAGGTTAACATTTTAAAATTATTGGGAGGTATACAGGGTATTGCATAGCTCGTGTACGAACTAAACATATGTTTTTTTTTATCGGTAACCCCAGTATATTATTTTAGATTCTGTTTACTCATCTTTTTTCCATTTTTCTAATATATGGTTTGTCTATGTTATATAGGGTACTTTTTAAGGAATTGACATTTTTGTGAGAGAATCGTACATAATTCAACGTCCAGCAACCAATTACACACTGTAGAAAAAAAATTTTTTACACACAAATTTTATAATATGATGTATTATACTTTTTTTTTAGTTATATTTTTATTATCTGTTTATTTGTATACAGGGAGACTCTTGATTTTCTTGTTTTATTTAAATGGGACACCCTATATTTTATATCACCAGTAAAATCATCTGTTCCAAGTCTTTCATTTTTATAAAGCATTCCCTATACCTAAAGTTAATATTTATCGATATTTTTCAACAATAAATGAAAATTATGGTTATTTCGATAAATTAAACTAGTTTTTCATAAAATACTCTTTATAAACAATAATAAATAATTGAAGAGGTTGAGTGGTGTGTACACACTGGGTAATAAGAAATGAATCGAGAGTATTTAAAGTGTGTAAATTGAGTTTTATTAATAAAACTCTGTAAAATTAGTCTAAGCGCTTTCAGCCTATTAGGCCATCATCAGAGACTTCGTCAAAAACTGTAGAAGTAGCATGAAAATTTAACTAAATTAAAAAGGACAGCAACAAACCGGTCCCTGGTCTCCACCATAACTTCAAGCTTCAAGTTTATTATTTACTAAAAATGATAAATAAAGATAAAACTGATTAAGGAAAAATTGACTTCATTACAGTATGGACAAGGTGTCCTATTTTGGGTACTTTTGCGGGGTATCACAGTTATTTTTTTTGTAAAACTAAAGATGCTGCTAACAAAAGTTTCATAGTCCTTTTAGTTTTTAAAATGCAGGGCATTTTTAAAAATGTTGCATATGTTGCATTTTGGGACTCCCCTCATATCTCCGTTACTCTTAAACTTATCGAAAAGGTAAAATAACTTTCTCGTAGTATTTTTCCGTAGAATGCAGTGGTGTAGATAATTTTTGTTACGTATTTACTATTTTTGAGTTTTAAAGCAAACTTATGAGAAAAAGTTCGTACTATTATATATTTTTGAAAAGGTAAAAAAGACAAATTTTATAGTCTATAAATTTAATTTAAAAAAAAAACATAAGTTTGCTTTATAACTCAAAAATAGTATATATGTAACAAAAATGATTTACACATGTATTCTACGGAAAAAATCTAAGAGAATGTTATTTTACCTTTTTAATAAGTTGAAGGATAACAGAGTTACGAGGGGGTCCCAAAAATATCCTAAAAAAACTAAAAGGACTATGAAAATTTTGTTAACAGCATCTATGGGACACCCCCGTAAATCTAATTATTGTATTTTGCCCTAGAACTAAAATGTTTGTTTTTCTATCTGTTTTATGTTGGTCTTTTGTAATTCGGCGTTTTCTTTTCGAACTTTTCCCCAGGTCCAGTAATATTAGTACCCGTATGAGATATTTTACAATAAAAACAATATTTGGACTATACAACATATCCTTGTATAACGTAGTAATTATTTAATGGAACGAATCTAGAAATTATCGTATTTTAATCTTTTCAAAAATTAAAACTGAACTAGTGGGTATTGATTATACGTATTTTTCTAATCCAAAATAACTTTGTATTTTGGAATTCTTCCAATTATTATATATTCATTCGAAATTTATTCGAAAATAAACCCGGTCTAATAGAATTGTATGATTTAATTGCCACTAAGTTTTATTATCGGCCATAAAATCGGGTATTTTCTTTATTTATTCTTTAAGAGGTGTCATATGCATTATTAATATTATGGCGACAATGTTTTAAACCCACGATGAAAGACAATTACTATAGGTGTTTCAACTTCTCTCAAATCCCTTATAAATACAAAAGACGATATGGCACCTAACAGAACGTAGTTCCAAAAAATCCACCAGAGGTCGTTAGAAGGTGAGGTACCCATTTGACCATTGTAAGAGATAGATAAAGCATATTTTAACATTAACATGTGTCCAACTTCAAGATCTGACCATTAGATGATTGGTCAATCATTTGACAGGTTATTATACTAATGTTCACGGATCATGACATATATAGGGTGTCTCATAATGTTCTGCTGTTTTTCAACTGAAAAAAAAAAAAACAAATGCTTTTGCCTAAAATATATTAAATTAATTTATTAATAAACGCGGATTTTAATTTCTTAAAAATAATGTTCTCCAGATGTTTTCCTTCTCGTGTCACGCATTCTTGAAGTTTGGACCTTAAATTGTAATAAACAGCCTGAATTTGCAATTTGAAAACCCCCAAAGTGCGTAGTGGTGTTTCGAACACCTTGGACTTTGGATACCCCTACAAAAAATCCAGGGGAGTCAGATCAGGACGTCAACCCACTTTGAAAAACTAAATATACAGTAGCGTTGTCAAAGATATTCGGGTGGTGTATGCTATGGCACCATCTTGCTAAAGCCAGGTATTGTTACTAAATAACCCGCAACCTTCCTCGACCTGGCAAATACAGAGTCGTGGCGCTTATATTTAACGTTGCAAAATTATCGCTCTCTAACAACTACAAAACATTATGGGACACCCTTTATTAAATTTACGAACAAATATAATTCTATTTTATTTATAATTCTAATAATTTTGCAATATTATTTATTGTTGTTAGTTTTTTCATATTTGTTGAGGTCTAGTTATTGTTGTCTAGTCTAGTTATTGTTGATCCTAGATATGAATCATGTACTGAAGTCAAATGTTAATTTTAATCAAAAGTAGAAGTGAGAGAGAGAGAGAGAGAGAGAGAGATATGCTTTATTGTCGTAAAAAAATTTACAAAAATTTTATAGACAAAGCGTGTAACTTAAATACTAAACATATTATAAAAATAACTAAACAGCAGAAAAAACAAACAGAAACAAACAAGTGGACGATGTGGAATTAAAATAATAAGAATGTTAGTAATTGTTGTTATACGTTTTATAACATTTTGTAGATAAAGAAAAGAAACGAATTAAGGTATCTTCAACGTTTTAAGTGTTTATGTGTACATTTTATTAGAATTAGCAGTTCGGCTATTAAGACATCATCCGGATATTATAAATGTAAACAAGAACAATGGAATGATTGATAATAATTTGTTCTTTTTTTACATTTATAATGGCTCTTGGTGAATACTAATAAAATTTCCACACATAAATGATCTACCTTTCCTTCGTTTATCTGTATCAATTTGTATGTAGCTACACTTACAAACCTTTGTTTTTTTTTTTGTAAATGATTAAAGTAGTATAAATTAAATGAATCTATTGAAAACAATCCTCTGCGTATACATATATAATAAAAAGTTTAATACAACACTTATTCAAATAAGTAATTAAGGTTTACAGATTCAACATTTTTGTACCTACCCTTTTCATTAATTTGCCTTGTTATAAGAACCACATTTTTTTGCAATTAGGAGATCCCTCCCTGTGAGATTGTATAGCACTGGTAACAAAATAAGCATGTATCTTTGAAATGTGTAATACCTACTCTTCTGTAAACATAACGTGAAAATATCACTTCACTTATTTTTTCAAAATCTATTTGTACAATATTTACAATTTTGTAGGAAAGAATACATACTATTTTGCTTATTTAATTATTGCTGTCTCGTACACTATATAAATGATGAAAATTAGTAATGTCCTCACTTTGTTTTGATGAAATATATGGGTAGTTATTATTGTAGGTATGTGGTAGTATTTTTCTTCTTCCTATTTTCACTTTTCATTTCGTTTGTTACACAGTATATGATTAATAGACAATAAATTACCATTATTTAAAAAAAAAATTGGATACAGACGTATTTTTCACTTGATAAAAATAAAATTAACTGCAGTCATATTTGTTTTCAGTTGCGGTACCTCACCTTCTACCGACCTCTGGTGGATCTTTTAGTACTATGCACTGCTTGGTGCCATATTTTAAAAAGAGTTGAAGCACCTGTAAAATGTCATCCATCGCATTTAAATCTTAATTTCTCTTCCTATACACAATACGTGTGCCCTTTAATTTCTTTTTTAATCGAGCTATGAAAGTAAAACATCGCTAACTCTGACAATGTCAAAGTTCTTCTTCTTTTTTTTCTCTATCGAGTCAACAGAAAATGTAACGATCCCGCATCGCTTTCTACCGTTTGATAAATGTTAAAAATACACAGAAAGTACCTGTTTTTAATAGAAAAATAAATAACAAAATAAATAATTTAGGTACGGCA